TTCATGAGTTGTAACTTATAAGGTTGACACAGATATTATTAAGTAAAAAAGAAACAGTTCAAACTAGCGTGATATAAATCTTAGATATCAATATCTTTCATACTTTTATGGGGTGCAAATGGGGTACGCAATGTGCAAATAATTTTTAAAAAATTTTATTTTTAAAAAGATGTTCAGAATTTCAAAATTATTTAAATGTGATTGTTTTTATCAAGGGTCATTCTTTTGCAAACACTGTAGAAACGTTGAAGATTCCCGTCTTAATTCAAAATTATCCTGCATTCTCTTTCTGTGATGTTCTTCTACAATTTGTATTAACTGTTCTACTAATTGCCAAAAGTATTTAAACCATTCTTTGCACTAAGCTCACACAGATTTTTACATATATGAAGGAAAAGAATGAGCAATATATTTGATATCAAAATAGCAAATAAATAACGAATAATAGTTTGAATGTCACATTGAAAATTGAAGGATACCCTTATTTTATGCATTATATTTCTATACTTTCAGTAGACCTGAAAAAAAGTAAGTAAATTGAAGTAGGTAACAACATCATGGGACTTGAAAAAAAGAATGCAAACGAAAGAGAAGCAAAAAAGTAGAAAGTAAAAAAATAAGAAGTCTTAAAATAGGAAGAGTAGAACTAAGACTATGCATTGAGTAGCTGTAGTTGTAGTTCATTTACGTCGCACTGGAACCTATTGGCGACGGTCTGGGAGACATTCCTGAGGATGATCCGAAGGCATGCCATCACAATTTTGATCCTCTGCAGAGAAGATGCCCCCCCCCCCCNTGCAGAGGAGACGCCCCCCCCCGCTTCTGTAACCCGACGACCTGCACGTGAAGTCGAGCACTTTAAGGTAGAACAGTTTAACGAGGGTCAATACCACGCACCCTCGGTCCCTACATAGACTGATCCAAGTGGTCACCGACCCGCAGACTGACCGTAGTCAGTGATATTTGACTTCGGTGATCTGCTGGGAACCGTGTCTTAATGATCAGCCCACTGCGATACGACTATACATTGAGATGGTCAGGTTATGAGCTAAAAAAGAAAAAGTAGTTGCTGTTAATAAATTTCCATTCATTCTTGCGTAAAAGCGTCGGTGCTTTTTCGTATCACAGAACATGAAGCTCAAATTAGACTTAAATATAGTAAAAATTAAAACTACAGCTGGGCTTTCCGAAATACAAAAGAGCAGGATTACAACAGAGAAAGTTGCAGACTTGTGTACCAAAGTCACAGCACAACTTCAAGGGCTTACAAGTAAATATCATGAAAACGTTTAAATGAAGTGGGATAAAGGTTACAGAAATCCATACTGAAGAATGAAAAAAGCATCCTGCGTCATGGCAGGAATCAAACCCTCTACCACGATATTACAATACCTCTAAACCTTGGAGACTTCAGAATCTAAAAACAGCAAGCAAAATAAGAGCTTAATAAAAAACAGACACCAGTATCAATTACAACAAAGATATTCTTATATATATATAGGACTGCAGTTTTTTTTTCTCAAAGGATTTATAAGTTCTGTCACATTAAGGAACGGATAGCACATATCACAGAACGACAGGGCAAAGAGGTAATAAAAAATAAATCCTGGGCTTCGACGGGAATCGAACTCACTACCTTACCCTTCTAAGATTTTTGTTGTTGTTGTTGATGTTACTTTACGTCGCACTAGAGCTGCACAATGGGCTATTGGCGACGGTCTGGGAAACATCCCGGAGGATGATCCGAAGACATGCCATCACAATTTTGATCCTCTGCGGAAGGGATGGCACCCCCGCTTCGGTAGCCCGACGACCTGCGCGCGAAGTCGAGCACTTTACGGTAGCACAGTTTAACGAGGACCAATACCGCACACCCTCGGTCCCTACGCAGACTGATCCAAGTGGTCACCCACCCTCACACTGACCGTAGCCAGTGATGCTTGACTTCGGTGATCTGCTGGGAACCGTGTCTTAACGATCAGTCCACTGCGGGACACCCTTCTAAGAATGAGATGGAAGGCCATTAACATGAAGTCTTAAAAGCACCTAATCTGAGCTTAAAGCTTAAGGAAAAATAAGTGAGATTAAGAAAATGAAGCACTCGGGAAGCATACCAAAAAAAATATTTAATACACAATTTTATCAGGTTGTAAAAAACTGATCGTTAAGACACGGTTCTCGGCAGATCACCGAAGTTGAGCATCACTGGCTGCAGTCAGTGTGCGGGTGGGTGACCATTTGGATCAGTCTGCGCAGGGACCGAGGGTGTACGGTATTGGTCCTCGTTAAACTATTCTACCGTAAAGTGCTCGACTTCGAGTGCAGGTTGACGGGCTACCGAAGCGGGGGTGCCATCCCCTCTGCAGAGGGTTAAAATTGTGATGGCACGTCTTCGGATCATCCTCAGGGGAGTTCCCAGTCCGTCGCCAATCGCCCATTGTGCTGCTCTAGTGCGACGTAAATGAACTACAACTACCACAACAACTACATATGAAAAAAATTTAAATCACTCGTCGTTCGTTAACTGTTTAAAAATTCAAAAGAATTGAAGAAACTTACAATTTGAAAACATTCAGTTTCGCTCTTTCCGCACTGCATTCCTAAAAATCATAGGAAATTTTCTGATATTTTTAATTTTTAACAAGATGTTGCAATATTAGGTAGCTATTATTTTGCAATAGCTGCCTTATCTATTTGTTTTTATAACAAATTTTATTGATTTCATCAAATATGTTTAATGGAGTTGAATTACGTTTGAACTCAGAAAAACTACTTCCGATTAGAATTATGATCAGTGCTATAGATTGAAAGAAAAGAATGTGTCTATATATTGCAAATAGTTTATTCTGCATCACTAGTGCGACGTAAATAAAGAACTTACCTATAAATAGCAAGTTACAAAAAACAGATTGTAAGTATTATATTTAGTATATATTTCACTTTATAAACTTATTAATTTGAAAGATTTTGCAGATTTTTTAAAATTTCAATTATGATTTACTTCATAGTTCATAACATGAATATAATTGCTTCATAAGTAAAGAAAACATAAATTTGAGTTCCATTCTGTCTATATGAGTTTTGAAGGTGTTTAAAAACATAATAACTAAGTAACTCGATGTCTTACTAATACAGATGTTGCATGCACTGATTACGTTTTTAATAAGTGAACTTTATTTTTGAAGTATTGTGAAATAAGAATTTTTCAGTAGTTGTAACTTTAATCTCGCTGATTTCTCAAATTGCAAAATTTTATATGATTTCTGATTTCATTCAAGCATGAGTTCACGAATAAAATTACAAACTTTAATTACAAACTTCGACGCGAAGATTGTTTTATAAAAATTTCAGTTCACCTTATCACCAATTATCACTCATCTACTTTACTCCAAAGGGGTGATGAGTGGCGTAGTGAAGCACAACGAATGTTCTTAACAATACTCCGTAGAAAGTAGCTGCAACTATTTTAGTACTCAGTAAAACAAATGTATCACAGTAAGATAGAGCCGTGATGGCTCAGGGGATAGAGCGTTTACCTTCCAAGAAGGTGAACTAGGTTTGAATCCCAGCGATGGCTGATCTATACGAATTCCGCGTTCGGCTTGCACCGACTACAGGGCTGACGTTAAACATCCTCAGTGGTAGACGGAGAGTCCCCTTGCCGTCAGGCTAACCTTGAGAGGTTTTCGTATTTTCCCTCCCCATGTAACGCAAATTCAAAAAAAGTCCTCCACAAAGGTAAATTTCTACCAATGCTTGATCCAGGAGTTCCCTTATTTTCTGAATTATGTTCAAAATTACAAAGCTACGACGTTGAAAATTGGTAGTCGCAAACTCAGAAGTGTGTCGGATGTTCAACGACGGATATAAAATAAAATAAGATAGAGCTGTAGTAGCTCAGGGAATAGAGTGTTTGCCTCCCAATGTGATGACCTACATTTGAATCCCAGGGGTGGTTGGCTGATACGCAACGACCACAGTGATGAAGTAAAATATCATCAGGGGTAGACGGATCATGAGTTAGAATCTCCTTGCCATCGGGCTAATCCTGGGAGGTTTTTGCGGCTTTTATCCCTTGTAATGCAAGCGTGGGTTAGTTCCATCAAAAAAGTCCTTCGCCAAGTCTAGTTTGACTCTATGCTTAATCCAGGAATTCCCTTGTCTTCTGGGTTGGTTTCAAAATTGTTGAATCAAAAACGGATTTGAACATTGACATTCGCAAACTCAGAATCAGGTCTTCTGTTCAGCACTGGTTATAAAACAAAATAAAATTACAGTGGGATGATACGAAACACATAAGAGTTTGGGAAATTATTTTTACGTATATGAAATTATATTACGTTTCTGTATATGAAAAGCAGAATTGAAGACAGCAACAAACTTCACGTTATTTCATAAACAATTTCAGACGTATCATAATCTTGCCAACATTGGAGTTTTTGGGATCGAAAATATTTAACATATTGTAACGTGATATTGTAAATTATTTTGAATTTTAGGTACTTGTGAATGTGTGGGCACATTCAATTATTTGTGCTAAGATTTAACTACGCACTTTAAAATGGATATGAACGCTCAATTTGGTGTTAACTTGTAAAAAAAAACTGTTCTTTCACGCGATTTTTGTATTGTTCAACATAAAATTCAGAGCGATATTACATCAAAAATTAGAGTATTTATAGTTTTGTTAGAAGAAGCGACAGTATTTATACGACATCGTGAATTGAATTGAATGTGGGGTTTAGTGGCACAATGTCCAAAAAAGGAATACGACATCGTGATTGATAGCGACATTTTAATTTCGTGACAAGCGTATTTTGCAATTGTCTAAAATTGCATTATTTAATATTTTTCTGATGAGACGAAAAACAAATTGTGTGTGTGTGATTTTTGTGATGTGGCAAAATCTATGTCTTTAGCTCTCCATCTATGTGAAAAATTTGAATAAATGTGTTTGATATACCAAAAGGTTTTAAAATATCACGCAATAATAAAACGGATTATTTTCCCATTTTTATTAACAGAAAGTCACCTAAATTACAATACATAAGAACTGACAATCACTCACTTTATTTGAATGAGTGCAAACGTAAAAGTTAAATATGCCATTAAATATGCAAATCACATTTCCAACAATAAATGATTAAATGGACGGTAAACTTCCCTTCAAAGTAACAGAGAAACTTATGCACCGGAAATACATTTTATATTTACAAAGTGAAATATTTTTATAGTTTAAGAGTTGTTGACCATTCTTTAAACTCAAATGCTCAAACAAGCTGTACAAATTTTGTAAAAAATTAAAGAAAAAAATTAAATGTTGATAAAGTGGGACAGAGCATATTCAAATGAAAATTTCCACAATATCTAGGAATTGTTTTCCATTTCTTTTGATTTTTTGTTTTGTTTTTGAGAAAGGAATATAAATTATTTTAGCGTAGAGCCACATGAATCTAGAATCCTTTGATCCATCCACAACGCGCATGACAAATAAGCCATTCGATAGATGGAAAATAGTACTGCAAGTGCGAAAGTGGCTTTAATTTTTGATATTATTGGGATGTTTCAATTTTTTATTGGATCATAAACATTTATATTATTTGCATTGATTACAGAACACATAAGGATATTTAAAGAAAACAAAAATTTTCCTACACTAAATTTTAAAATACAGCAATTTATGGATTTTAATAAACTTTGAGCACTTATAAATAAATAAGAAATATATCTGATCTAAGGAATACATATTCTTTAAAATTTCACTTTTCTTTACTTTAAAGCTTAGCAGGACGGATTAGTTAAGGAATTTAACGTACTGTTTGGACGGTTTCATTCAATACACTTTGATACAAAAATATAACTATGAAGTATCACTGCATAGTTTCTGAAAACAGAACATTTATATGCATGTTACATAATTCAAAAAATATAAATTATATGTGTATACCATAGTATTTTTTAATACCATACATCAATTTGCAACAATATTTGTACATCACATTGCATTTGAAACTGTTTAATTCAATATGTTTTTATGTTTTAATAAATGCAAACTTCATTTTTTTAATATTCCATCTTTCTCAGTAGTGATTCAACCGATTTCTACAGCGTTTTATTTTTTCCTCGCTTAAATATAATTTATGCGTTCCAAATATGTATCATTTTTTTACTTTATCTTCGCCAAATTTTTTTTAAATATATTTTATTGGTGATCATTATGAATCACCCTGTATGTCTCAAAGATTTGAACTTCAAACTTCTCAAGGGGTTATAATAACTTTAATTTAAAGTAAAAACCATTTCTCAATTGAAAAATAAATTCGTTGAATAATTCTAAAAACAGGATGTATTTACGAGGAGACATCAAATGTAATTTATATTTCCGACTTGTATAATTATTTTGCGTTAAAATACGTTTGTTAAAAATAATTAAAGTTATTGATAGATGTTAGATGTGATTCGAGTGCAATTTAAAATTAATTTATTAAGCAGAAATCAATTTTTTTTATTTGACTTATATTTTTTCCAGATTATACCGCAAAAAATGTTAAATAGTCTCGAAAGGGAATCATTTCATAATATATTACAAATATTGCTGAAAATTACTACATTTTGCATTTATGTTTAAAAAGTAATGTAATAAGTTAAAAGATGAAAAGGTATACATTTATTATTATTAAATACAGGAAAGTGCAAGATCATGATCATATAAATAAATTCAACTTTGGTAAAATAGTAACAACATTTACATCTATACATCAATGAGTACTTTGTTTATAGCAATAATTTATTGTATGGCTACAATTCGAGATTTTTGTTTCATTTTTACTTTCTAAATTCTATATTAATTACACGTGATACTTTTAGTCTTTAGATACAAAGATTATTCAATGATTTTACTAAAAAATGAAAACAATTCAAAGTTTATTAGAATCAGGATTGATACTTTGTTTTCTTCAATGCCAAAAGTTTATTTTAAACAATCAATTTACTCAGTTGGGAGCTTATTGGAATCTTCCCTTATAAAATAAGTAAGGCTGAAGTCCGAATTTTTAAAAATATTTTAGGTATGAATTTAAATATTGCGAAAACTTCAATAAAAGTGCTAAAATCTCAATAACAAAAATTTTGTTTGAAGCAAATTAAATTTTGGGACGTAACGCAAAATATTAAAAAAAAAATCAAGGTGATATAACATTCTAAAAAAAGTCGTTGAATTATTATACTAACTAAAATACTTACAAAATGCAAACTAGTAAAAAAGTTTAAAATTTTTATGGGAATTGCAAAAAGTTGCTTTTAAGTTGAACTCAAAAATCAAAGAATTACTTCATTAACAACCAAAGACTTACGTGTTTTTTTTTCTTGGTAAAATTTGAATAAAGGTAATTAAAAATTAATTACGTCAAATTTATGACAAGAGAATTATTTTTGTGATTTTGTGACGCGTTTTTAGAACAGTCAGGTCCGATTTTAGGACAGTCCGGATAGACGCGTTGCAGTTGCTTGTGAGAGGCGTGTTATATTTTAACGATTTTAAAGAGAATACTTTATTTTTATACTCCGAAAATTATTCCCTCTCACTGTAAAGTCTGACTTGTAGAAAATAATTTTAGAGAAAATTAGATATACATTGTTTGTGACTCAATGAGCACTCCCCCCCTCCCCCCCGGAGCTGTGTTTTTTAACTGGTGCAATTGAAAAACTTAAGGGAAGAAGGTTTGCTGTGATAATTTAGTGAATTTATAAACACGCGTAAAAATAAAAGTCTGGCAACAGCAGGAAATTGTTTACAAAGCACATATTCGTTATCAGCACCGTCTTGATTAATAACCTGGCAGAAAAAAAGTTATATTCATACAACAGACCATAATATGTTTTTTAATCCAAATATCTTACTTTTTCAGATTGTCACATGTTATTTATTTCTATTAAGATTTTTAATTGTCTATAATTCCAGCAACTTTTTAAACTGATTAACCTTCATCCAACCACGTAGTGAGACTAAGTCACCCTAAAAAAAAATTTCCCAGAATTTTTAAATCTATGTTCGGTACTGAAATTTTCCTTGATATTTAATATATTAAACAATCATCGAAACAATTTTCGCAATTTATTTCGCGTAGATTTATATTTAATTATTTTTTTTTCGCATTAATCGATAAGTAAAATAAAACCTGGCTGAAATTTCAGAGAGCCGATATAATTGCTCGCTTATTATTCAAGTCAAAAACTTAAGTTTGCAATTACATTAAAGTTTGTCCCATTTTCAGAAAGTTGAAACCTAAATTCTCTAAAACTAAATTTGCATAAACCGTTTTTCAAAAGATTGATAAATATTTCAATTGAAGGGAAGAAGAAAATGCATGAGTACTTTCTTTTATAGACTGCTGAAAGAAAGCAATTAAATATTTAAGTGAATTTATTTTTAGATTTGAATCAATAAAATAAATTCATTAATTTTCTTAGTAGGAGAATTTAAGATTTGAATGACTAATGCACACTGGAAGATTTAAAGAAAATCACTGTTTTTTTGATAAACAGAGATCTTTAGTTTTAAAACCAGCTTAGATTATTATAGATAATCCAAAGTATTTTTTTAAACTAGCTTTCTTTAGATTTTTAAAAATATTATTATAAAAACTATTTTCTTATTTTTTAGTTTCTTGAATAAAAACAGCGACCACAATACAAAACATATCATTAGTTTTCTGTTACAAAATTAGCAAAAATCATCTCAGCTCGTATTTAAAATAGTTCTGTTAACATAAATATTAGAATGTTTTGATGAGGAAAACATAACTTTACGCGTTATTCAATCTCATTACTTTCTAATAAGCATCATAAATATTGACTCAAATGCAAACTCTGTAAAGACATAAAGTAGGCATTTAAACCAATCGCCTCAACCGTAGTCGTGAATTTTCTGTAAGTTGTTAAGTAAGAGAGCATTATTTCCTCGAAACTCGACTTTTAGTATTAGCTTCCCAAAACACCACGCACTTGATATAATAAGTGACATTTGATGTAGTTTCTTTATTGAAAGACTTTTTAAGGGTATTTTGTAAAGTCGGATCTTTCCACTCTATTGAGCTAACTCACAATGAGCGTCATCAGATAAATGATACAATAAACACAAATTTACACAACCTTTGGTTTTATAAAAGTTTGAGGCACAAACAAAGCAAAACTGTTCATATAGTTCAAAAATATTTTGTTGTCAAAGATGGCATTTGCCCACCACCCGAACTGTTACTGTCAACTTGACTAAATGATGAAAGACAAGAAATTGGAAAAGTTTTAAGTCATGAAAACAATCTGCAGTTATTCAAATGAAATCAATAGAATGTCCGTTCAGTGTAATTTCACGAAACGAGTTTTAAAGTTTCATGATAAATTCTTTGGACGTTGCCATGTTAGAAAATCCACTGCTGCATTTTCTCTCAGCCACAGTATTATAAATATTCTATAAGTTTTTGTGTCGCTCATTTAACTCAACTCACTTCCCCATTCGCTTTTCTCAACAACTCCATACGCACTTCATGTTCTCGAGCTTTAAGTCTTAGAGCAGCTATGCTCGAACTTCTTCGATCAAAATCCACAGGACTTGTAGCTGGTGGTGATACGGGAGAACCAGTTGATGAACGTGGCAATGCTGCGGGTGGAGTTACAGTAGGGGATGGTTGTGAAACAGTTGCAGGAGCAGAATTAGCACTTGCAGTGCTCGTCGCAAGTAGGCTAGGATATGGTTCCGTGGCAACAGGACTTAGTTCAGGAGAAGTTGTAAGCTTTGGCCTGTTCTGTGCTGATAAGTTAGCGAGTAATGTTTGAAATGATGTTGGAGGAAATGAACCAGTTACGGAATAAGGTGAAGATAATGCTGCTGGAAATAAGCTAGTGTAAGGCAAATCTCGAAGGGAATAGCCAGCTTGAGTCAAGAAACTAGGAGCTGGGCGAAACAGTCCTGATAAGCCAGGTGGTGGTAAATAAGGTGGAGGAAATTGTGGATGATGGTGATGGTGAGCTACTGCTGCTGCGTTCAAAAGACCAAGGTCATACGATCTAGGATAGCTCAGAGCACTGAATGGTTTTCCAGATCCTGGTGCAGATGCTGGTAAGGACGGTAGCGCTGTAGATGCTGAATAGGGATTGTAGCCTTGACTTTGTGATTGTCCACCAGCTGCTTTTTCTTGCTTCCGCCATTTTGCTCGGCGATTTTGAAACCATACCTATAAGTAAAGGGAGAAATATGTTACAATATATTTTTACCCACAAATTTCATTAATCACTACACTTACTTATTTTAATTTTTAGTAAATATTTATTATTTTATTTAATAATAGTCGAACAAATTATGAATCGTAAGGTATACAACTTTTTATATCATTTTATTGAGTATAATTTTTAATGACATCGCATACCATACAATTCAAAGATTTTTCGATAGTTTAATTATTATTAAACTATTGTTAAATAAAAAAACTACAAATGTCTTCTAAAAGTTGCATGGAATTATCTTTGAATAAATGAATTTTATAACTGTGTGCAAAAATGTTTAAATTCGCTTAAGAAGTTCTCGAGATTTGGTGAAATACGCAAAAAGTAAAGTTAACATTAAGGGGTCTCAACTTCGAACCGCTTTCCTGACCAAACTATTGGAACCATATTTCAGGTGGCTACCTACCATATTTTGGAGATTCATATCCGTCGAACAAAAGGTATGATCATTCAGAAAAATGACGTTTTTGTTCGTAATCTGCTTTCGAAACCTAAAATATCGCCTGCATTAAATAATAAGCATATTTGAGGTCATCTCTTTGAGCCATTAAGATAGAGTCCTAGAACATAAAGATCCGATCGTTAGATCAAAAGTCATTTAGGACGGTCCATTTATTTACTTATTTTTTGCCCATTGTACTTTAAAAACGATGATATATGATGAAAATTTTTATTTTGCACTTTTTGTAAACACATAAAAACACGCAAAAAGTTTAACGTTCTCATTCTAAACGCCATAAATAAAATTAATATAATTACCTCACTTTTCGCTTAAAATGAAAAGTTGTCTTTTTTCTATAAAAAATCCTCCAATGCAATTAAAATAAATACTTTTAAAAATTAAAAAAACTTAGTTACTACTCAAAGTGAACAAAAGAGCAAACAGATGGTGAAGAGAAACTTGAGATTTATAATAGATCATTAGCGTCTTGAAGCAGATGATTTGCAACAACAGAAGAGAGAGTTTTTAAGCGGTCTCTTCAAAATCTTTGTCACCTAATTAGCCATTTCAAGCGGGTGATAATAGAGGTAACATGGTGTATACATTAGCAATAGGATTAGCATCCGCGGCGACTATGTTTGTATTAGTGACTATAAACATTTCAAATAAGGCTATCGCATTATGCAAGCGGCTGCTTTTACTGTTCTGTGCTAATAGCATATCCAGGATTTGCATTCGAAAAGAGCGTTTTCTTTCTTTGGAGAAAGAGAAGCTGAAGTTTTTTTTATTTTATTTTGTTTTACTGCGTGCTTAAGTCACACGTAGGTTACACAATGCTGTAACCACCGTGAATTAGTGAATGTAGATGGGTAGTTTTAAAAAGAGAAGAAGAAAAAAAGAATCTTAAATATTGATTTCGTTTTTAGACTTCTTATGACCCACATAAACCAGTTCTCGAATCATTTTTCTATCCAACTAAAGTCGTATTTATTAAAGTAATTCTTCTAGAATAATTTAAAACAATGAAGAAAATGCTAGATAAGGAAGTTCAAATATAATTCCATATCCCATTATGAATTGTGGAAAATGAATTCTGTGATTAATCAATTAGTTTTTCGTGGGGAATATAAGCTTAAAATTTTTATAACCGTATAAAATAGGAAAATATAGCATAAAGATGACATTTTATGAAATTGATTTGCGTAACGTAACTTACTAAAGTTTATGCGATTTATTTATTTGCTAATTTGAAAAATATATAAATAAAAAATAATTCTCGTCATGAAAATATGATGCTTTATTTAGTTGAGAAAGAATAAATATGGTGCAGTATTTAAACTATTGTAGAAAGAGGCTCATTTGCGAATTTTCTTACTGCAAGCTAATCTACTAAGATTTTTGATTTCAAACACAATCATAATTTATGCTAAATGAAAATAATAAAGAAAAAAAAAATAAAAAGTGATAGATGATAAATAAATTATAAAAAGGCGTCTTTTTTCATTATTCAAAATAAAATCTAATTGCTTTGAATTATATACTACCTAAACTACATAGTATAGTTTAATTATTATTAAACCTAAATTATTAGTTTCCCTTTTTAACATATCATTCAAGTACTTTTAAAAACTTTTATGTGAATTTTTTGCAGTTTTTTGTATTTTATATATATANCAAACAGTTTAACTAACTTCAAGATTATTTAAGTCTTTTAATGTATTTGAATATATTTTTCCTGTAAGGACTAAAGAAATTTTATGTTAAATACATCGCTAAGAGCATTAATTAAGCATTTAAATACTGATTTTCTGAAATATGATTCTTATAATACTGTTAATAATATAAAAATTATATTTGCATGTCATAATTAAGTTTTGAAATGTTTGTTTATTTAGATATTATTATATTAAATATTATTCCATTTAAATATCAAGATGTTTAATTATTTAATTAAAATCTTAATATTTATCTTTCAAATTTTTTATTACAGTTCAATAATAACATTTAAATAAATTTCCAAATTAATCTACAATACTTTATTAAATTTTGATTTAGTAATTTTTTTTGAAGTATTTATTAAGGTTTAAGTTAGTAATTATTAATAAGTAATCATTTTTGAACTCATGTCAATTAACTACCATAAATTTGGATAATATAATTGAACATTAAAACTCTCTAATCTAAAATGACGTGTTATTAAATGAAAATGTGTTTCATGTGAGCTCTTAATACTGTTAATCGAAGATGGACATATATAACAAGACGGAAATGACATTATCAATTGCAGGAAATTATAAGAAGTCATTAATCTTCAGAGAAGTCGAAGTAGGGAAACGTTTGTTATTATCGACCCCAATTAATCGATAGAACAAGAATCATTGACAAAGGTCAACGAATAAATCACTCATCAAGTCTGAATAAGATGAAAATAATCATTTCATACATTTATCATATTGAAACATTTTTCTATATCAGAGAATTGATTGGAATCTTAAAGATAAATGATATTTTTCAGCTATGTACATGGAGAAAAAACATTCTGGTAATATTACTATACTTGTATGGTAATGACATTTCTCGTAAAAAACGTAATTATGGTAATAAAACCCAAATATGTGTTATTTAAACCATTTATTCGGTAATTTCTCCATTCATATAGTAAGATCTACAGGAAATTCTGGTTTTCAAAATTATGGTTCCTATTATCACACAATTAGTAAAAATACAAAATTGAAAAGTAAATTTAACCGAATAAGTGGTCTTAATGCTATGCTCTAATGTATAATGATAAAACTACCTAACAGAATGGTACTAAAACCGTTATTTATTGTTAAGTTTACTAAAAGTCATCACCACAGAGCTTCGGTAAAGATTACCATGTTTTTTTATGTTCCCATAGAGCCAGAAACATGGTAATTATTACTTTATTCTGGTAATTTTAACCATAATTTTTCTCAGTATAGCAGTATTAAAAAAATTATGAACAAGTCTATATTATTTCATTTTTAGATTTAAGATATTTATAAGACTTAACGCGTTGCTGAAAACTTTTAATTCGACGATCGTGCTTGTAAACAGTTGAAGAAAAATGTGTTTCTGACTATCATTTGAAATTGAGCGTAAGTCGTAAATTTGGAAGCTAAAATTATCACGTTTTTTGCATGAAAACAGTCGACGGCAGTAACCGTCATTTACAGGGAAAAACACATTTCGCTCTGTTCATAAAATCAACACATTCACAGAAATATACTTTTCAGCTGAGAGAACTTAGCACATACGACAATTATAGCTGCCATTTGTTTGTTCCAAATTGTGTAAAACATAAAATATCAAGACAAAAGAAAGAAAGAAGAAAAAAACGATGCGTAATTTGAAATCTTAAGCCTTTTTTTCAATGTATTACAGAATAAATAATTAACAAATAAATGCATTAATACACCTCGTATTAATGATGTTATTTTTTTGCAAATTAAAATGGGCAAGATGGCTATAGCCGTCATTTACAGCAACGTGTTGAGGAAATAAATAATTAACAAATGAAATAGAACGTATAATAAGATCGAAACTTATTCAGAGTGGCCTGTAATTACCATTTTTGATGTAAATATTTTAAATCCTTGTCAGAAATATTGTAAAACAAAGTATTAATTTGAGAAACAGATTATTATTTAAGCGAGTAAGAAACAAAACTCTATAAAAATTTATCGAATCACTAGTAAGGAAGGGGGAATTGAAATAGTAAAAAGAAAGTTTGATTGGCTTAGAAACTTGGATGTATTTGCTATAAACACTTTTAATCAACAACTCCTTTTTTTCTGCAATCAAGCTGGTTTTGATCTCTACATGCACGCTTTTATCAGTAGCAGTGATTTCGATATACATTTTGTTCTGTCCTTGCTTAAATTAACTACCCTTGCATACTTTTTTACTTCATTTTTTTTACAAGGATTCAAAAAATGCATATGAAAGGTGGTTATTACGGATGACTTTAAATCAAAAACAGTATAGTTACAGATTTACTGTAGTGAAAACTTTCTAAGTAAAAGTTTTGTCAGTACCTTTGTAACGCTGCTTTAAACTTAAATGAATGATCCCTATTTTGTCTAGATTAAGTTGCAAACATGTTCACACTTTTGGAAAGTTTTATTTTTAATCATGTATTTTTTTTTTTTTTTTTTTTTTTTTTTTTTTTTTTTTTTTTTTTTTTTTGCGAAATTGTTTCTTTTTACTTCGTTTAATATTCAAAAATTTAAATGTCGAAAATACTTAAAGATTTTGTTTATTTAATTGGCAATTTGCTTTCGAAAATAATGTATCTATATAATGAAAATATGTATTAAATGAAATACATTAGCTTTTCTACCAAAGGTAATGAAAATTACTTGATTTCTAATCAAAGCTAGCAATTAAATAAAGTATATACCAGAATTATATAAAGTATATAACCGAACTGAAGCATGTGTATTAAAAAGTTTAAATCCAAACTATATATTTTGAAAGATTCAAACA